GCTGAACCTGCGCTTTCTTTGACTGTGTGTGTTACACTGAAATTCAAGATGCCTGTTTTGGGTACATACTTACACATGGCATTTTGAAATGGTACTGCAGTTAGGAAGCAAAACTGAACCCTTTTGCAAACAATTGCATGTGGAGTGTCCCATCTCACTTTTTCACAAAGGCCCAGGGATGGTGCTGATTTTTAGCTTTTCTGTGAACTGTTTACAGCTTATCTTTGAAACACTGCTTAAGCTTATTTCTGGCGAGTAAACAAAACACGTTTAAAAAATATAATCTTTAAAAACCCTTGGGAAAGTATTGACATTAAATTCTTTACTGTTGTGCGTTTCTAGTGACATAAATTGACATTGAAATTGTTGAATATATGGCAAGTATTTTGTTTTAACTTTATGATGTCTTAATATGGAACTAGAACAGAAGTATTAACTAAAAAAGGTGTAGGCTAAAAGAAAGCTGGCTAATATGTTTACTAGTACCTGTTTTCATGGTGCAGATAGATACAGTTAACTTTTTCATTAATACTGACACATAGTTTCACTTTGGGGAAAGAACGTAGTGTTACTAGTTGTACAACCTAAGTAGTTTTAAACAAAGTGTAAAATAAAATAGGTTAATTTGAATAATGTAACCTGCTCTGCTTTGGTAATCTTAGATGAGTCAACCAGATGTTCTGATACAAGTGCTTGAAATCTTGAAGAACAGTGGTGAGTTATAGTTGCATCTAATTTCTATTTAACATTCCAACTGCTGTTGTTTTTATGCTTAATTTTTCTGTAAACTTAATTTGGTTGAAAATTAATACATTTTTGCATCTGAGCTCGTTTTATGAATGTGATTTTTTGGAAACCAGTGCTTGTGTGAGTGAGAGATGAAAACCCGCAGCAGGAGCATGGCAGCCCAGGTAGTCCAGTTCAGATTGCCAGACTTTAGGGTAATAGGGTTAGATGCCAGGTCAAAAAGTGTTTATAGGAGAAATTCCAGGCAGTAAACCTGAAAGCCACTTTCCACTTGCATGTGAACATCAGTGAGAACTATTACAAGAACTATTACAACTATTCTGAAACTTGTAGCCTCCGTGTTCTGTCAGGAAGTCATCTAACCCTGTAATCCGCATGTCTTGAACCAGGTGACACAAGTAGCATTGCATTTTTGATCCTTCAGGAAATTTTGGTAGGTCAGCTCCATGAGTGGTTCTCAAACTAACTTGGTGGTTTGTCAGAGATTCAACCTTGTGTCTTTCAAATGTTGTAACGATGAAAAGGTTCTAGAAGAGATACCATGCCAGTTTCCTGACAAGGGTTTCTCTTTTTTTTGTTGTTGTTTTTTCTTTTTCCTGCTAAAATTGACCTGCTGACAGTGTGATACTGGTCGTGAGCATCAAAAGTAACCAGAAAATATTGCTTACTGGTTAGCTGAGCAGCAAGTAATTTGAGTTCTGTAAAAGCATGGTAAATGTGATAGTTTTAAAGACACAGTTGGGATTACTGTAAAAGACTTTCATATGTAATGTGTTTTTTTTCTCCTTGCTTAGCTGTGTACTCAGATGTGGAGTCAGATTTCCATGCCAAAGTTCCTGTTGTCTTTTGCAAAGATGTTAAAAGGTACATGTCATTGCAAAGGGCTTTTAATGAGATACCAATTTCTAGTATGCTTGTTCATGGCAGCTGCTTGCCTACACTCCTGACGATAAGTATTACTGTAACATTTAGCTAACATTCATGTTAAAGGGGAGTTGCTCATACACAAAATATGATCTACAAAGAAAGCTTAGCTTTGTTTTTGTGCCTCATAAGTTGTAGGACTCTGAAAATACAAGTACTACTTTTAGTTAAAGAAGGGAAAAGTGAAATGCTTTTCAGTTGATATTTGTAATTTCTGTCAGCAGTTTAATGCAAGGCTTTAAAAGCATTTTAAGATACATGTTACCAGTAAGGACACATAATCTGACAGTTTCAGTAAACTCCTAAGAAGTAGCAATCTCCAAAATGAAACATGGTTGCGGTGTGATGTCCACATGGCTTTAACTGGCTAGCGGTGTGTGATTGAACTCTGGGGAGGTAAATGCAACAAGGGTTGGCATGTCTTCCTGTGGTTTTAGATTATGCAACTCCCTTGTAAGTACTAAGAGAATAGAAATAATTATTCTGAGAAGCAAAGTGAAAGTTTTTAGAGCAGCTGTTTTGTGGACTTACCAACTCTTAATATGCAGCAGGCCTTGGGGGGGGTATTTATCTATTTATTTAATTATTTATTTGGTATGTGGAAGATATACATGGAGTTTGAGTTGTGTTAAGATTGCACAATTAAGTAATGGCAGAACTTAGAGCAAAATCTTAATGCTGTTTCATATTTTTAGCTGTAATAAACTTCTGTAAGTTCTAGATCCAACTGATGAGTTCATAGTAAAGAAAATGTGATTATATTCTGTAGCTTTTGTTTAAAAAGTTTGGGTTCTTACATGATGCCCCGCCTCCTCCCTGCCCCAAGCATCATCTGTATACACAAGGTGATAACTCTTTTTTTTTATCTGTTTTACATTTGTAATTATAGTGGTTTGACATGTAAAGTAAGTGCTAGAAATGATGTGGCTTGCCTTACAACGGACCTGCTGGCTGCACTTGGTAAACTGGAGCCTGTCCTTATTCCCTTGGTTTTGGCTTTCCGCTACTGGGCTAGAGTAAGTTGATAAATATTGAGGATAATGAAATATGTTTTATTTCCTTTTTTTAAGTACTGCATACAATGTAATGTGTAATATACCGTGAATGTTTGTGGACAGTAACTTCATGCCACTAGTTCAGCTCTTAACAGGCCAGAATGAGACTGGAGATTTTGGTGTGAAACTGTAAGTATAGATGAAGCTTCCACTATTCTGGTAGCAAGCTGTTACGCTAGTTCCTTAGAACTAGTTGGTTGTTCCTTGAAAACCAGCTCAACAGAGCAATCGGGCCTGAAAACTTTCTGCTATTGAGGTCACATTGAAAAAAGTTAACTTGCTCAAAAAAGGGTCTGTCATCATACCCTGCTGTACTTCTTACAGATGTCAACAGTGATTACAGGAACCAAGTTACAATGTTCGCAGCCAGCGTTTAACTGCCTTGTAATTCAGTCCTGAAATTGCTGCCAGGCCATACTTGACTTATAATGTCTTTGCGTTATTGAAAAATCAGTTGCATGGTATTATTATTATTGTTGCTTGATTTAGCAAGCTGTTTATAGAAAAATTCCTGTTTTACAGCATTGTAGTTTCTACTGCTGCTACTTCTAAGAATTTTTCGAAATCTAGTAGGTTCGTTACATCTCGCTTGACTTCCCATAGAAGAGATCAGTATCAGATCAGATGCACGGAATTCCCATCTCCATATATGAGATACTGCACAATAAAAAAAAACTGATAGTTGACTGAAGTTCTAGATAGGAACATAAATGTGTCCGACAATCACAAAATGTGATAAAACTGAAGAGACTATCACATAATAAAATAGTGTAACTTAAGGCACTGTGTGAATTACTGTAATTTGCAATTTGTCTGTATGTGGCATGACGACTGCAGTTTCTGAGATAAAGGATTTTCTGTTTTACTCTAGTACGTATCTCACATTTATTTAATATTTGTCCTTTTATATAGATTTTAAATTGAAATGCTGATGTTACATCACAAAAGTAATGATATATTCTGTTACAGCTCTGTCACATTGATTGTCAGGCTGAAGGTGGGATTCCTTCATATTCCTTTGCCTTAATGGTGATCTTTTTTCTTCAACAAAGAAAACCACGCATTTTACCATCCTATTTGGGCAATTGGGTAAGTGCTTTGGTAATATAGTAACCTTATGGTTAAAGTGTTGACGTTATTTCTGTGTTCTGCAAGGTCATAAAATGTGCAGAATTTGATTGCCTAAGAAATTTGTAAATAAAACACATTGGTACTTGAACCTCACGCAGTTGATGCCTGATGATTCTGAAGACTTTTGAAAAAAGGCAGCTGCTATAGCCTGTACAGTTATGTCATGCTGTGTTTTGGAGAAAAGGCAAATATTTTCTTCTGTAATTCTCTGAATTTATTTCTCTGGCATCAGTTATTCTTGAGGAGGATAAATACCGTAATTTTCAGTGTTACCTTTGGTGAAAACTTTTGTTTCTACGTATTATATAGTCTTGTTTCAGAGATACTTTAATTGTTGTTAGATTGAAGGCTTTGATTCAAAGAGGCCAGATGACCACCAGCTGAAAGGTATAGAAGAAGAGGAGTTTGTACGATGGGAGTACAAACCACCAACAAATGGTGCAGCAAAAAATTCAGTTGGAGCGGAAAGTAAAACTAAAGTTGAACAACAAAAAGGTGGTGGTAAAAAGGTAACAAGCTCAGAAGTGGACAACCAAAGTAATGTAAAGGAGAAACACGGCAATGTAAGTCATGGCTTTATTTCATTGAAAACCATATTCTATCTCTTATCCCTGCTTTTACCTTTAAATATTAGTATTGGATGGAACCAGGGAGAAATGGGAATTTTCATTTCTTACTGCAGTTGAGCATTCTTGTCCATATGTTTCAGTCTCTCTTAGCATTCAAAACTCCTCACCAAGTTTCACTGGGGCAACTGTGGTTAGAACTGTTGAAGTTTTACACACTGGAATTTGCTTTGGAGGAATATGTCATCAGCATACGGGTACAAGAACTCTTAACCAGAGAGAATAAAAACTGGCCTAAAAGGCGAATAGCCATTGAAGGTAGGGTAATACCCTTTTCTAGTCCTGTAGTCATCGTACATTATTATCTTTATTTACCTAATACTTACAGGTCTGTCACAAGAAGTCTGGACAATAATCAAAGTCAATAATCTGAGAAGAAAATAAATTGGGTTTTGTACATCTTGTCAGCTATTTAGTCTGCTTAAAGACAAATTTTCTGTTTACTACTACTTTTTGCAACTCTGGTCCTTGAAGTACAAAGTGTAAATTTATCTCACCGTTTCTTACCATTCTGTTCTTATATCTGTTTCATTCTTTCTATAAGCCATCATTTATTCCTTTTTAACGATTCTGATACTACAAATTTTCAGCACCTCTAGCTGTATTTCTAAAAACCACAATATATTTTGAGTATTATCAGGTACCAGTTTGTTTCCTCTGACTCTAATGCAGACTGAGCGGAGAGGTTAGCTCTGATCAGAGTGAACTGGAGGAAACCCATCAAAGTAACACACCCACACCCTCAGCACCTTCCGTCATCCCTTTCCCCGTTGATAGTATTTCCATGCTGTAAAACAGAATGTCATGTCATAGGCTATGCTTCAGGGCCTGAATATCCTCCTAAGGGAAGTGCTTCTTTCGGGAAGTGAGACCATATGAATTTCCTGATAATACATATCCTGAGTTACATATGATGGGGAGAGAAAGAAAGAAAATTATTTTGTCTCTTACTTCTTTATAACTGGAAGACATCTTTGTTACTGTTCCTCAACTCACAAAAGTATGTGAACAATACTTAACAGGGAAAGTCACAGAGCAATACATGGTATTCTGAATTGGCCTTAAGAATAGAGAAATTGGGTATTTGAGGAAGGTTAAGAAACCATTTAAGGTGATATTTTTATAAAAGCATAAATAACAAATTTTGGACGCTTTCTAGAGATGTTTATGAAGTAGCTTTTCTGTAACACATGTGAGGTGATGGAGACAACAAGGAGAAATGGGTCAAAGAGAAACATGAAGACAGAGAATGAGTTACTACAGGTGTATTGAAGGACAAGTCAGTAAGGTACACGACGAGAGAGAAGGAAAAGCAAAAAAGGAGAAAAACAAGCAATGAATTATTGAGGCATATGTTGAGTAATGGGTCTTGAGATCACTCCTATGGCTTTAATTTCCTCTCCCGATTCTTTTCTTTAATCACTTTTAGCTAGAGAGTTTTAAAACTAGGGTAGTGTTTATTCAGCATGTGGGAAACTAAAACCTGTAAGATGAAAGGGCAAATCACTGAGGAAGAAACAGGAAATAATTTCAAAAAACAGATTGCATTCTGGTTCTGATACCTGCTATTGTTGGTCTTTTTGTGTTGTTTTTGTTTGTTTGTTTTATGGTTTTTTGGTTTTCTTTTTTTTTTTTAATGTTAAGTTTGCAACAGAAATTATGAAGTAACAGAATCTCAGTTTGATGCTATCTTCCCAGGCAAACTTATAGCAACTATGCAAGTGCTCTTTTTACTTGGAAAACATGTTTGATCTAGAAATCGCTAGGAAGGACTAAGAATGAAACCTGGTGAGATTGGTTCATATAATCCTTATAACCTTAATGTTACTCTTAGAGAAATCAATTTCTTAAGGGAAATGCAAATCTTTCTTCAGTGAAGGAAAAAAGTTCAGGCAGGCCTACATTTATTTTGCCTTTATATGTTTATTTTCATTTCTAGTTTAGAAATTGACCATAATATAATCGTGCAATATATCTGTGGTTTTCTTTTTAAATAACACTATTTAGAATGGTTTATGATAACACATGTGGCCATGAATGGTTGGCTGTGTTTTGTATGGAAGAAGTCCAAAAACCTTGTGGGCCCTACGTTCTCTAAGTATGTCCAAATACAATTCTGGATTAGATTATAAAAATCTCTTTTTAACTGCCATATCATAACTTAGATATTTGCTTTAGTGAAATGTAGAAATTGAAGATTACTGATGAAATTGTTGATTTTCTTCCTAGATCCTTTTGCACTGAAGAGGAATGTTGCACGAAGTCTAAATAGCCAGATGGTATTTGAGTACATCCTGGAGCGATTTAGGACAGCATATAAATATTTTGCATGTCCACAAAGTAAAGACGGGATTAAATCCAAGTCAGATACCAAGAAAAAAGAAAAAGGGAAAATGAACAATAGGAAATCCACAAGATCTGAAGAGCCTGTGGCCAACTGTTGCTTTCCACAAGGGGAAAAAGTTGTAGATAAACAAAATATAGGAAGTGGATGTAAAGTACCAGAGAATGAACTTGAATGTAATGAAGTGGTGGAAGCTGTAGCCAAAAGATGTACTTCCAAGGACGTAGATTCCTTGCTACTTTCAACATTGGACTCTAGTTATGATGAAGACAAAGAAGAAGCTTTATCCCTTATTTCTACTGAATGCTGTGAATTAAAGCAAAAATCACTTAAAGAGAGGGATGATTTAGAAATTTCAGTTTGTATAACTGAAGATGAGCTAAGCCACCATTGTAACTGCAGTGAAGATCAGCCCTATGACACAAATTCTAGTAATGAATTTTCTGATGCTGAAAGTAGACAGAGTTTGGTAACCGAGTCTTCGCAGAAGAATAAGTGCACTGGCACACCAGCTACCTCGCCCAACTGCAAAGCAATGGTGGAAGCTCACGATCTCAAAGATGAAGGCAGACTCTCTACAGAAGAAATGCATTATGTGTTTGATAAGTTTATTTTGACTTCAGGAAAGGTAAGCTGTATATTTAAGTAGTGCTGGTCATGTTAAGCTGTGTATTTAAGCAGTGCTGGTCATGTATCAGTGGGCTGTTACTTTTAAATCACTAAAACTAAGGGCGGAGTGATGACAGGAGTCTCCCAGTGATTACTTCACTCTCTGTTATGAATGGCAGCTCTAGCCTTTCTAGAGTACCTGTTATTCAGGGCCGGAAAACACCAAACCTGTATGCCATTTGGACTAGATGGTCTGTTGCCCCCATCTTATGCAAAGCTTTCTGATTTCCACCAAAAAGAAAAATCTCCTGGATTTTGTTTTTTGGTTGTTTTGTGGTCATCCCTGCCTCCTACTTTCTTGTAGAATTTCCAGTTGCTCTTACGCACAGTGAGAACTAAACGCAGCCTGTTGAGAGGTGCTGTTCTGTTCTTTGTAGAGACTCTCTTGCCATTCGGATGTTAAATGTTCTTGGTTGCATGACTTACATGGAAATGTTAGATGTGTTGAACTATCTTAAAAGTAAAACTGCATTTGTGCGCCGTTTCCCCCCCAAAAGCCACCGACTATAGTATGCAGCATCTGCAAACGGGATGGACATTCCAAAAATGACTGCCCAGAGGATTTCAAGAAAATTGATCTAAAACCACTACCACCAATGACAGACAGATTTCGAGAAATACTTGATATAGTGTGTAAAAGATGTTTTGGTAAGTTGGAAAACTGTTTGTACTCCACTATAAACTGTGATCTGTAATCTGGAAGAAATAAAACCTGTAGGTTTAAATTAATTATTCCAGTAAATTCAGTGGGAAGAAGCTCTTCCAGGTACCCTGGGCTACAAATTGAGCAGTATTTTTGTCTTCATGTAATCTGTGGTTGTAATATCAAATTCTTATAAGAGATTTGAGAAATTAACACTATACAGGAGGTTTCAGTGACTTTGTAAAAAAGTTAGTAGTGTTCCCAGAAATTAGGCTCTGGGCAAAACTAGTTTTTGTGTTTGTCAAATTCTGTGGCTTTCTTTGGAAAAAGCCACTTTTAGGTGCTGTGGTGGGTTAACCTTGGCTTGATGCCAGGTGCCCACCGAGCTGTTCTGTGTTTGAATAATTGCAGAAAAATCAGATGTCTGAAATAAAATCCTAACAACTCTAATGATATCATAAAAAGAAAAAACACATAAAAAAGAAAAACACATATTCAAGGGAAGTAAATGTATCAACAAGAAAAAAAAGGTATCCAATACTTTTAATTAGCTGAAAAAGATTTTTGAGGTAGATGAATGTCGTATCTGACTGTGTTTTAACTTGTTTTTTCTTAGATGAATTATCTCCTCCTTTATCTGAGCAACAAAACAGAGAACAAATTCTGGCAAGTTTGGAAAGATTTATTAGAAAGGAGTATAATGGTAGGTAACAGTAGGTAGTGATTCTTGATAATGCTTACTTCAGTCATGTAGTCCAGAGCATGAAAATGCAACTCATCTCATCATTGCTCATTTTCCTTGCTTAAAGCAGTGGCATCTCTTTTGTCTCTGTATGTAAAGCTACCCTGCAGCCTTCTAAACCGAACATCCCTCAGTGCTATTGCATGGAAATATCCCTAGAGTGGAGGAGGAGCTGCAAGAGTAATAATGCAGATAAGGACTGTTGCAGTCAGGACAAAAAGGAAGTTTGAATGGGCCCTGGCCAACTCTTTTTAGTGTTACCTGGGTCGTGGGCCAAGTGCTTCTGTTGCCTAGTTGCTGGTGTTTTAAGTATCTTAGAAATCTTAGTGAGTTTGGTATCTTTATATCTCTTTGATAAAATAGGCAAAAGTATCTTATTAAAGTGATGGAAGTCAAGGCATAGAGATGCAAAGTGATTTTTTTGGAGGTGGTGTTAAACAGTGCTGGAGCCAGATACCAAACGCAGGTCTCCTGAATTTTAGCCCCTTGCTTCACGCAGAAGGCCGTCCGTTCTGCTGTAGCTGGCCTGTGACCAAGGAGCTGTGAATGGCACTTCCACTCAGCGGCTGTGCCCCCCCGACTTAGTGGCAGCAGCTGAGGATTGAGACCTGGTACAGAACCTTGAAAGGCTTAAAATTTCCAATTCTATTAAAGGTTAAGAAAAAGCTGTGAATAGGTTCCAAACAAAAAACGTAAACAAAACAATTGGGAAAGAATGTTCCGTAAAGTATATTATTGCTTGTATGTTTTTGAACAGTGTGTTATGGTTACAGAAACTTACTGATTGACCAGATTTACCTAGTCACAGGAAAAATATGCAACCTAGATAAAGTATGAGTGGAACCAGAAGTATTGCTTGGACTGCTTAAGAGTAGCTCTGTCTTATCTGTGGGGTAGAGCTGTACTGGTGATTGGGTTTGCACATTATTTTGATTTATTTAAAACGGGAAAGTGCAGTCACATACCGCAAAACGTTGCACCATGTTTAGAGATGCCATTTAATGGTTATAGTAACTCTGTAACATGCCTCACTTGTAAAAATTACGTGGGCTTTATCCTGCCTTACTTTCTAAAAATGATTTTTAAGGTGTTGTGCTTCCTCCTTTGTCAAAAGTGACATCTTGGAAGTGACATTGTAAGCTCTCTCTTACATCTCCATTTTTTATTGGCACCTACACATCTCAGTTAAGCAATATTCCATAGTAAACACTTACCGTTCAGTTGTAAAATAGTTTATCTTTTTTTGGTCTACTCTTTTGATCAGACAAAGCCAGACTTTGCTTGTTTGGCTCTTCAAAGAATGGATTTGGATTTCGAGACAGTGATCTAGATATCTGCATGACTTTGGAAGGCCATGAAAATGCAGAGGTAAGAGTTTTGAAATTTATAGAATTTAATATTTTTAATTTAATAATTCTTTGAGTTTTTTTTTAATTCAGTAAAGATTTCCGTACACAGAAAAGGTAGGATTTTGGTAGTAGCCCATTGGCTTGTTGTACTCTGTACAATTGAAACAAGATACAGCCGATTTTGCTTTTAATGCCCTGTGGACACTTGGTGTACTGTAGATGTCCACAGAGCGAATACGAGTCACCAGTTTCCATGAATTCATGTGCTGGCTCATCACTTCTTTTTGTATGTAGATTTTTACTCTCTGAAATACACGTTTGGTAGTAAATGTGCTTGTTGGGATAGGATCTGTGTTTCAACATCTGAAGCTGTGATACTTGTTTTTCCTAGAAGTTAAACTGTAAAGAAATAATAGAAGGTTTGGCAAAAGTTCTGAAGAAGCATCCAGGTAGGTGTTTTAAAGTATTTTTTGTTTTGTATTTACATTTATTGTGTATGTCGTTAATGGAGATGTTTTATGTACTAAAGTGTTGCTTCCCCAGGTTTGAGAAACATCTTGCCTATAACAACAGCCAAAGTGCCTATAGTAAAATTTGAACATAGACGAAGTGGCTTAGAAGGAGATATCAGTTTATACAACACACTGGTAAGCATCTGCTTGTGTTTGATTTTGTTTTCAAAGAGAGCTTTTTAATTCAGTGTAACTCAGTCAAATAATCGTGTGAGGGAATAATTTTGAAACCAGAATTAAAATGCTTTTGTGTGTTTGGACTTTTTCCTACATGATTTAAATTCAGTGGCCCACACCCTCAGCCCAACCCAAGTAGTTGTATAACCTGATGACAGAGCAGCGTCATGGCACATGAAGCATTTTTGTGAATGCTCCTGAAGCTTTTAGTGCCACATTCACCATGGCCTTTCTGCCATCATGTATAGTACATCTCATCCTAGCTTACGTCTAGCACAGTGAAATTGCACTATTACGTATGTAATGGGCTCACATTCACCTGTGAAGAAGATGCAATTTGTGGAATTTGTTCCAGTGTGAATCATCTTACGGACTTACCTCTTTGCTGGTGTGTTTTCCAGGGTTCTTGTTACTGTGTTAATGCAGTCCTGATTACACCTTTCAGTTATGTTTGTGCAGGAAATGCTGCATGAATTTTACAGAATATTATTGTGGGTTTTTTCTCTCCAACTGTATTAGGCATCTCCTGTGCTTGAACTACAGACGCTACTCTAATTAACCATAAGTTACACTGAAATACCTGTTTGATTTTTTTTTTTTTTTTTTTTTAATTCCCCCCCCAGGCACAGCACAACACAAGAATGCTGGCTACATATGCAGCTATTGATCCTAGAGTGCAATATCTGGGCTATACAATGAAAGTTTTTGCAAAGGTAACATACAAATAAGTACCTCTTTTTTATTTTTTTATAATACAGTGATTTCCAATATAGCCACTGAGTTTACCTTTTGCTAATACCAACTGGAAAGGAGACAGTAGAATGCTGTTAATACGAAGTGCACTTTCTTCAGCTGACTATGCTCCATCTGATTGTGTGTGTCAGAATCAAATTCTTTAGTCCTGGTGTCTTCTACTATCTGTTGAAAGATTGCTGTCTAAGAGAAAGCTGATGAAAGGAAAACTTCCATGTTTTTTTCAATTTCAAACCAGCTACAATAAAAAACACCCCAAACCGGAAAAGATGGTAACTGTAAGATGTCGGGGCTTATGCCTGTGCATGGGCATCCCAAATTTGCATATCTAGGACCAGCCTGGAGATTACTGCAGTTTTCTTCTGGCCTACCTGCCTTGTTTTACTTACTATAAAAGTCAGAAGTAGGAATGGGTTGATGAATGAATGCGTAAGTCTCTACTTGATGTCTACCTAGGACATACGCTGCTTTTAAGAGTTGGGAAGTACCAGCTACCAAATCTCCTGCATCTTTTTTTCTTAAGATATTCTAACAGTGTTACACTATACAGCCTTTGATAATTGAAACATGGTGTATCTCTCTATTCAAGCTGCACTATGAAATACACTCCCCAAACACATCCAAAGAAAGCTTAGCGAAGCAGGGGCAAATGAAAAATGGGTTATGGAGATCATATCATGCTACCCGATGTTAATGTAATAACGTGCATTGAGACTAATAAAATAACTTTGTTCCACAATGGAATGGACATGTTCATTATGCTATCACCAAGGCTAGTAATGATTTTTTTTTTTTGTGTGGTCACAGTAGTGCAGAATATTGCCATGTCTCTTCTGTGTCCAGACAAAAATGCCTTGTGTTGACAGTAATGAATCTTACATTTTTTGCAGTATTGCATACTATTGTATGCATTCTAAAACTCTTACTGTATAGACAAGTTTTTCCAAATTGTGAGACATGCACTCTTGAATGTATATGTATGGAGGTGAATTCATAGCTATGCAAATACTTTGTGTTTAAACAAAATGCTTCCTCCTCTGTTTACATTGGCAGAAAAACCAGGAACAGCTGTCACTGCTGCTGCTAATGTGAAAGTAATTTGTGAATGCCTGTCTTTTCCAGATCTAGGAGGTTAAAAATGTGTTGTTTATTATGACACACGCCTGAAGCAAAGGGTAGCTTAGAAGCAGGTGCTGTAGAAAGGTTATACTGTCATAAGATTTTCAAGCATAGTAAGGTAATTTACTGATTTTTTTTTTTACGCTGTGTTGTGCAGGCTGGACCATGGTGTAATTAGATATGCTTATGTATGCTAGCAAAATGCCAGGTATTGCCTAAGTTGCAAGTACCGCATGGAAATACTTGGCTATTAATTAATTACTGGGGGGGGAGAGGGCGAAGAGGAAAGCCAAAACAATAAGGAATCATAGAAGCAGCTCTAGTAACATGAGTTTAGGAAATTAAATTTTACAGTATTGAAACCTGGACGTCAGATGTGGAGGCTTGTTGGGATTTCTGTTTTGGGGTTTTTGATTTGGTTTTTTTTTTTTAATTTGGCATATTATAAAGAACAAGGTTTTCTGGTTTTATGTTGGTCAAATTATGTTATGGGTTTGCCAGATGGCACTTGACTCTAAGGACATTTATTTTTCAGGCTTCATAAGACAATTTTTAGTTATGAGATAAACGTATTTTCTGTTACTGGTGGGGTTTCTGTTTGCTTTCTGACATAGTTGTTGTCTTGAATAACAAAGTGTAAATTCAGTATTTTGTTTAAAATGTATTTTTTCAGCGCTGCGACATTGGTGATGCATCCCGAGGTAGTCTGTCTTCGTATGCCTATATTCTTATGGTTTTATACTTTCTACAACAGAGAAATCCACCAGTTATTCCAGTTCTTCAGGAGGTAGGTTTTCAGAAAAAAGAGGCTATGAAAATAGATGCACTGTTTCTTCAAGCCAAATATGAGAAGTCTGGGCTTTCAGGATTAGGGGGATGTATGAAATATGGGGCCCTTCTGCATTAGCAGGTTCCTAACTCCCGCTTGCTTTTAGTGGGTAAAACTTACTAAGAAAATTACAGCAAAATCGAGAATCTGTTGGACCTAAGTTCTGCTGTTACATTTACTGGGGGATTTTTGTCTTAGGATGATACTTGTATGATGAACAGGATAGAAAAAAAAATTGGCAGGTGGTATGGAGGAAAGAGAATTGTAATTGTGAGACTGTGACAGATGCTCTTGAGATGTGAGTCCAGCTCTTCCATCAGTTATTGTTAGAAGCATTATTTATTGCTTAACACCTTATCTGTAAAAGTTTATTTTATGATTTGATGAGGGGAAAAAAAAGATAACTAATGCTTTGGTACATCTTCAGAGATGCTATTTTACATGTGCCAGGAAACTTTGTTAAGAAAATAACGTTCTGTACCTCCACTGCATGGGTGGAGAGAATATAATTAGTCAACCGTCTACCTCTTCCTGGATACACACACTCTGGAACTCCTAAGCACTTCTGAAAATTATCCATTTCTGACTTTTTTTGTTGTCTGCACGCAAGAGGAAAATTGGCTTAAGCAGTGCAGTTGAGACTCAGACTTTCTTGCTGATACTTTAGTAGTGGTTGAGGGTTGTTATTTTATTGCTTCCCTGAGAGTGCATTTGAATAACAGTGGAATTTCCCATTGGCTTTGCTGAAGTCAAAATGTAATAGGAGTCATGTAAAGTCGCCTTAGAGATTTTGTGGGCAAGAGGGATGTTGGAATCTCGATGAGGTAATTCAGTCATGTTTTCTTAGTTGCAAAGAACAAGTACAAATAAAATAATTTTGAGAGAGGCATAACAATAATGCAAAAGAATGGGTAATTCTGCCTATATGGGAAATAATTGTTAAAATTATAATATTTCTATTTTTGTGCTATTTCTTACCAGCAAAACTGCAAGTCTTTTAAGGTGTCTTGGAATTAGAGTGGTAACAGTATCCCTCTCTGTTTCGGCAGATATTTGATGGGAAACAGATTCCACAAAGAATGGTGGATGGATGGAATGCCTTTTTCTTTGATGACATGGAAGAATTGGTAATATTCTAATTCCAGAAGAGTCACTAAAACTTAAAGCTTCTTTTTATGGAAAAGTAGTATATTTCTAGTAGTTTAATACGTAAAAGAGTAGTTAAACTTCCATATCCATATTATTGTAACTTTGCAAAGGAGTCCTGTTTTGCTGAAATGAATGTCTGCTTTTTCTTCATTTGTTTTAAATCATTTCTAAGTAACATAAATAATGAAAAATACTTTCTACTCTTAATAAACAGTCCAGGATTGAGGTAGTGTTAACTGTAGTGATTTAACCTAACTTTAACTAAGTGAAACTGTTCGTGGTAGACAAACTCACAATTAGAGAGGTAGTTCAGGAGGAGGAGAAGTACTTCAGTGGCTATACTGGTATAAATCGTGTCTTCAATTGCATGCAGAAGAAGCGGCTGCCTTCTCTTGGAAAGAACACTGAATCACTTGGAGAACTCTGGCTAGGGTTGCTGCGATTCTACACTGAAGAATTTGACTTCAAGGAATATGTGATCAGCATCCGTCAGAAGAAGCTGTTAACTACGTTTGAGAAACAGTGGACATCCAAATGTATTGCCATTGAAGGTACTTACTTGCTGAATTTTTGTGCCATTAATGAGGGAGTGATGAATGCTGTTGCTTGAGGATCTGTTCTCCTTGTTGCACAGGATCTTTACGTGAGGAAACTACCATGAATGTTTGAAAAAAACATTGTTTGCAAGTCCTAAAGCTTACAAAATGAGATAAGACTCCTAACTTTTAGCATACATCAGTAAATTGCTATTACTTTATTATGGTTAGTCACATATTTTTAAAACACTCAGTATTGCTTTGCTATCATCCACTCTGTGAGTGCATTTAAAAGTAAATGTGTTAAAATAAAAATTTTTTGTCGCAGCGTATTTTTTCCAACTCTGATTTGTTTTTCCCCCTTCTTTACACAGATCCTTTTGACTTGAATCATAATCTCGGTGCTGGAGTCTCTAGGAAAAGTAAGCTATTAATATCTACTAATAATCAGTGTTCACTAATTTCTAAAGTGTTGCCTTTTCTGTTGTTTTACAATAACTTTGTCTTTCTTCAATAGTGACCAATTTCATAATGAAGGCATTTATCAATGGGAGAAAATTATTTGGTACCCCATTCTACCCAACTGTTGGAAGAGAAGCTGTAAGTTTTTGTAGTTTTTAGTATGTTTTTTACTTTTCTTTGTCCACTGAATTGATGTATCCAGAGCAAATCTCTTGTATGTATTTAACAATTTGGTGTGCACGCTATATGTTATTGTGCATCGTCTGCATATAATGTACAGCTTAGTATTGGGCTGCTGTGATACAAAATTCACAGGAGTAGTTGCATGAATGATGGGTGTTTTTGGTGGTTTCGGGGGAAGTAAGCTTATTTTGGGTTCTGTTTTTTTTATAAAACTTCTCATTGTGTGCTGTTAAGTATTGCAGAAAACTGCAAAATCAGCTATAAAACCCAGAAACAGCTTTAGGAACTTTGCTAGCTATTCATGTAGTTAAAGAAAACAGACTCACAGATGTTACATTCTACTTATTTTTCCAGCGTGTGAGGAAAGTAAGGATTACTGCTTAAGGAAGGAAAAGGACAATGATCAACTTTTTTTTTTCTTTTCTCAGATGACCTTCAAAATTTGCATAGCGAGTCAGGGTCAGGGAAGTGTTCATGCAACATCATATTAGAGAGTTAGAGAAAGTACTCCTCTGTGCTACAGGGTCCAGTCATTGATGCATAACAGAACTTTTTCTTTTAATATGAGAAAATAGATCAATTATTTTCAACATCTACTTAGAAAGGTGTTTTCTAAGACATTGTAGAGGTCTGTTCTCCCAGTGGCTCTCAACAGGGTTTGTGTTTCTAAGGGATTTTGAAAATCTTTTGAAAATTGTTACTTCCCCAAAAATCCCTATCTTCTTTTTCCTTTTGCTCACCTTACCTGTGTTTTTTCTGAGTTTGTGTTAAATGGTCTTTGATACAGTGACTGTGTTCTGTTTTGTGCTGTGCCTAATAAAATGGGACCTGTTTTTATTGGGACTTTTGAGTACTGCTGTCATACAAATAATAATGAATTACCGTGTGGATGTAGTTATCTGTAACTGACAAATATCATAGAATCATAGGTTGGAAAAGACCTCTTAAGATCATCAAGTCCAACCATCCACCCAACACCACCATGCCTACTAAACCATATCCTGAAGTGCCACATCTACACATTTTTTACACCCCTCCAGGGATGGTGACTCCACCACTGCCCTGGGCAGCCTGTTCCAATGTCTGACCACTCTTTCAGTAAAGAAATTTCTCCTAATCTCCAGTCTAAACCTCCCCTGACACAACTTGAGGCCATTGCCTCTCGTCCTATTGCTAGTCACTTGGGAGAAGAGACCAACACCTGCCTCACTACAACCTCCTTTCAGGTAGCTGTAGAGAGCAATAAGGTCCTCCCCTCAGCCTTCTCTGCTCCAGACTAATCAGCCCCAGATCCCTCAGCCGCTCCTCATCAGACTTGTTCTCCAGACCCCTCCCCAGCCTCGCTGCCCTTCTCTGGACACGCTCCAGCACCTCAATGTCCTTCTTGTAGTGAGGGGCCCAAAACTGAACACAGTACTCCAGGTGCAGCCTCAATATGTGAACATACGTAATAAATACTATTGCTAATCAGGTTTTTTGTTGTTGTTGTTTGCATACATGTTCAACACAATGCTATAGTGCTTCTGGAAGGCATATACTGTGTGTTTGTATATGTGTTAGTTTGTGTTGTTCAGCCTTATCTCAGATTTTTACTGAACATTTTATGTAAGGATAAAAGGCAGGACAGAAGGCAGCCTTAGTGTGCAAATGAACAGTCTCTTACGTGAAGGAGATAATGCTGATAGTATTCCATAACATTTTATTTCTACAAAGTGTCCAACAAAGAAGGTGTTCTCGATCTTCTTCCTAAGCCAGTGCCCTGTATTGCAGCTTAGTGGTACAGAGAGAAATCTGTAGCTAAAAGGTTCAGTAAATTACCTAAGTCTACAGTAGGACTTTGTTCCCAAGCTGGGGTCAGGACTTAGTTCTATTTGTACCTCTATTTCAGTCTTTCAGACAAGGTAGTACTTTCACAATGTTTATGTTGCTCAGAGGCTGTAAACTGTGGCCTTTGTGCTGACACGCATCAGAACTGCAGCTGTCCTTAGCAAATTCTGGGGGAGGCGAGCGATGCAGGTCAGTGTGCAGATGCTCCATCTGTTTCCCACCTGAGCTTTGTTCTGTGTAGGGGGATATAATCACGTCATTTGGGAAGGGACGTAGGCTGCTTCGGAAAGCACACAAGCAGTGACTCAGATACCAAAATAGATCATGTGCAGAAAATGGCCCTCTGAAGAGCCTTTGGGGAAGCAGAATGTAGGCAGCAGGCTGGAGCCTGGCTAAGCTGTTCTACAAATTCAGCCTCTGGCCCTAAGACTAAATAGCCCTTTTTAGCCGAAACTGCTCCACATCTCTGAAAAAAGCTGTCATTATCTAGGGGAAGAAAATGACTTAGGTATAATCTAAGAAGTAGTAAAATGTAGGGAACAATCAGAGATGAAAGCTGTCCATTTTGCTTTAATTTCTCAGTCTTGTAAGTGAATGGCTCCTATATTGTATCTGTCTGATGTGTTTTGATAGGAATACTTTTTTGACTCAAAAGTGCTGACGGATGGGGAGTTGGCACCCAATGACAGATGTTGTCGTGTCTGTGGAAAAATTGGTCACTACATGAAAGACTGTCCAAAGAGAAGGAGGTAAGTAATATACAAAACTAACATAAAATCTTTGAGATTAAGTCAGGAGAGATTTAGATATTTGAGATTTTAATGGAAATTGAGAATATGCTGAATTGCAGAGAAAATCAAAGCTTCATATCTGATCTTCAACTTCCCATCCTATTTTTGCTTTTGTTAAGACTATTTCTGGACATCTCTTTAAATCTGAGAGTGTTTATGCAAGCACACAGAGTAAAATCATCAGTCTATAATATGTTAATACTTTTGCTCCATGATCTATCTGTAGTTACAGCTTACCTTAAAATTTAGATCACTAAATTATCTGTTTATAGTGTAAACATTCAGATGGAGACCGTATTACCTGACTGCACAATTTGTAATATATTAAAATGGATTTCCTGTAGTGGTCATGTTCAGAAGACAGTGTTGAATTGGAATTGTTCTGTAGATCTGATAACGTACCTCTGCAAGGCAGGTAAAAGTTCATTTATTAAAATCTAGGACTAGTAAAAATGTACATAGTTAAGGCGCATTTCTGTAACATCATACTAGTGCCAGTCACTTAGTGATCTTGCGCTTGTACATTAATTGCACTTAGGAGTTTTGGATCTAGTACTCCTGCAAAAAGAGTACTTGCAGGTCAACGTCTCCAAAGAGACT